AAGCTTGTATTAGTCTAAAATGCAATATAGCAATTTTGACAAAATTTTCCATCTTAAAATCCCAACATACAATACTCCTAGAAGCTATATTTATCTCTCGATCCTAAAGAGAGGAGGTATTTGTAAGTATACAAAGTTGACCAGCAAAGATTAACTTTTCTTTACTCTAAGTTGACAAAAAGAATAATGACTCTTTTAAATCAGCATTTTGATGTGAAAAATGAAAAATTTGCAAGCTTTTACAAGTCTAAGAGGTGATAATAAGATTTTTGCATTATTTTCCCTATCTAGGCATGTCTGGACCAATCCTCTATTTCCATTGATCCGCATCCTTGGATGATATTTCTTGAATCCTTCGAGCTAAGACTGTCTCAATATTATGTTGTCTGGGTCTCCCTCCCCAACTCCTTCCCTGCCCTCCCAAAAACTGCGGTTCTTTTACCAATTTAAGAGAGTTATTTTTAATGGGTTCCAACCCTACTCAAAATGCACCATAAATATCTATATTCTAGAGCTGAACCTCCAAAAACTCTAATATGAGATTCCAAATCATACATACACAAGATCTACAACTAAAGTTTCCCCTAGGGGATGCGAAAACCGTTCCCTCTAATCTAATGGGAGACACTGCACTCAGCGATGACTGCTGCTGGACCTTCCCACTACCCAGTCTCTCATCCCGATTGCACTGCTAATGCCGTTGACACCATCACTTTAATCCAAACCCTCACATGCATTCCTGCCACCGCCGCAGCCATCTAAGTTTCCTCCCGATACCCCAATCTACCATCCCTCCACTTGCTGTTTTCTTGTTCTTGGATATTACATTTTTACTAACATAAAATAGAAAGTAAAGGAAAACCCGTATAGAAACTTGCTTACCTTGAGAAACGAAGCTGGGAGACTTGGAATTTTGAGGAGTTTAGATTCAAAGCTTTAGATTTTCGAAATTGAACGAAAGAAGCTCTAGCAATTAAAACAAATAGTAGGAGAGCAGGAGGAAGAGATGTTGCAAAAATTGGGGATTTTTGTACAAATAGAACAATAAAAAAAAGAAAAAAAAAAAAGAAGAAAGCGACCAAGAAAGAGAAATGGGAAATGAGGAAACAAAGGCACATATAAATTCCACTACACTGTTCAGAGATCATATACATATTTTATGATTTAGAATACGAATCAGAGGAACCCTTAGTTAAAGATTAAAGCTATTTCAGTATAAATTCTTTTGGTGCCAAAATAACTACACATCAAAGAAAAAAAATGTCTGAAAATTTGTTATAATGCTTACATAATTTGTTATGAGCTTCTCAGAATTTAGAAGAACTTTTTTGAAATAAGAGACATCTATGAACAAACATGCTTAACTTCCAGCTATTGAGAGAGGTCTTTCTCATGCACATTCTTCGATGCAATGCCATGAAAATGGGTGGAGTCCAAAGATCGGTCCTGAAACAAGAGTAACAAACCCATTGCAAAAAAATCCCATCTTAGAATAAAAGAAATAATGATTTTCATTAACGTAAATGCATACCACATCCTGCAAACTGCCCGGAATATCAAAACAGCTGTGCATGTTTGGTGCTCTGAAGCTAAGCTGACCCTGTAACCAATATCCCAAGGACAACACTTAATCATTATTATACAAGTGAAACGGATAACTCTTTATATTTTGATGGGCAGCACGGTCAACAAAAAGTGTTTGTACCGAATAAAAATTTTTTTGGAACGGGTTACAATTTTGTGGGGATAGGGATTGAACCCAGACAAATTGCCTGGTAGTGCACCTAACAAAACAGTGCCGTATTGAATCTAATTGACGGAATGTAATTATGCTCAAAAACTAAAAAGTCTACATACTACATTCAAAAATTACATGCATTGAGTCTAAAAAAATTAGCACCATACCAGAGCAAGCAATGTCTGTGGGCTGCCACAATAACCATCACGAACTGGAGAATTTGCATTCAAATGTCTCTGCATAGAATTGAATGAATTCATAGTTGATGTCAATAGAAGTTACAGAGCCGAACTTCAATTCAAAAACTTTGGACTAAAAGAATACCTACCACTCCTTGCATATTTTGTTGGGAACCATAATAACCATCAGGAATTGAAGCTCTAGAGCCTAGGTCCTACAGAAGTTCCAGTGCTAGAAATTAAACTGATATGTTACGATAAATCATCATCTAAACAAAGTTCTTTCTGCAATTTTAACACATAAAGGTATTTCCCTTACCATCACTTGCATGTCCCTTTGAACTACATAAGAGTTGTCAAGGGCATGCACTCTTGAGTTTGTTTAAAAAAACAAACCCCCACCCCCCCAACACACACACACACACACGTTATGTTCTTTTATTTTCTTTTTTTTCATGAATCAACATGGTAAGTACTTTAGATGTAAATATTGCATATCATTGTTCATGCTTAGGTAAACAAGAAGTTTAAAATATGACAAACCATTTGCTGGCAGCTCTCATGCAAACCAACAGTTATTCCCTTTGGCTTAGAATGAACCTAAAATATAAATAGGGTTTGTCTAACCTATACCCTTAGAGCACAAGTTAAGGGAGTCTTAAATGTATTTTTTATACATTAATTTATACATAAAATAAAAAAGTTAGCAGTAATTTTAACAGCTATGACATGGATATTTTTTATTGGACAATTGGTAAAATTAATATCAACTTTTAGTTTTACTATGTGTATGAATGATAAAAAAAATACAATAAATGCACTCTTATCCTATACCTTAAGGCCACAGGATAGAAAAAACCATATAAATAAAGTCTATTTAAAGAAATATATTAATAGAAAATAGAAAATGACAGTTCAGGTATCTGTTATAAAATATCAAGCCTCAACTGACCTTTCTTTTCTTGTGGATTTTCTTTCCCTTAGACGATTTGGCTGTACCATTGGAATGATTCTCCTCTTCAACGTCCAGAAAGCCATGTGCAGACAATGTTTTCCCTTCTAAAACATTTCTGACAGAGTTATTCACACCCACACAATGTTTTAAGGCTTCCTCCAGAGCCTCAAAAGCAATGGTATATGCTTCTTGAGATACTGACCCTTGTTCAACCAATTTGATGGTTTGTCTACATAGATGATTGAAACGTTGTACTCGATAATGGAACTTGCTTGGCATCTCACCAATATTTTGCCTAATTTTTGCATCTTTTGTCCACCGCTTCAATATATAGTGGGAAGGTATTTCAGAAATAGCTGATGTTTGAAGAACAAAGATGGCATGTTTACAAAGGAAACCTCTGTATTCAAATGAACGGCATAAACAACATACATCCAATTCTCTTTTATTCCAAGACACAAAGAAATTTTGATGTTCTTCAGAGTCATCAACCCGGAAGACTATATTGGCCTCATCTTCTGTTTCCTTTTGCAAGTGACAAGAAACAACTCCAAAAGCCTCAAACTGAAATTTCTTGAATATTGTATCTGTATATATCAGAGACATTTGCTTCTCAAAAGTTGAGAGTGATCTCAATGCAGGTTGTTTTTTTACAGTTTCAAAATCAGCTCTGGCCTCCATCTCATACCTGTCATGCAAAAACAACTTATACTGCTCAATAAACTCAGTGAATGTAGCCCCTTTATGCATGTACTTGTCAAAGAAAGAAGCAACACTTCCAGATCTCTCGGTTGTAGACATTCCAGCTAAAAATTTATTCCGCATATAAGCTGGGACCCACTTCTTTCGATCCTCATACAATGAGAGAATCCATTCATTCTCCTTAAGCTCAAACTTTTCAACAATTTTACCCCATCTCTTTTCAAATTGTTCATCAGTCCAAGAGCGAAATACACATTTCTTAAATTTTGCCATGAACCTCTCATCCTGACTCAAACTATCACCCAAAATTTCAGAAATCTTACCCAGTATATGCCACAAACAAAAAGAATGACTAGAATTAGGAAATACATTTTGAACAGCTTCATTTAAAGTTTTGTCTTGATCAGTAATAATCAATTCAGGAGCTTGGCCACCTACTGCCTTTAACCATGTTTGCATTAACCAAACAATAGCTGATGTACTCAAGTCCCCAATCAGGGCACACCCAAGCAGCATGTATTGGAAGTGATGATTTATTCCGACAATAGGGATGCAAGGAATTTTGTATTTGTTTCTAATGTAGAAGGTATCAAAGAAAACAACATCACTGAAGTGGATGTAATCATGCCTACCTTTTGCATCAACCCAGAATACACTCCGTGCAATCATTTCATGATCCAAATCTATTGCATAAAAGAAATCTAGATTCTCATCCTGCATACACATAAAATGCTCAAACAGCAACTGTATGTCTTTCTCATCTAAAGCTAACTGCAGGCCTTTCCTTTGATATGCTACAGTACAAGGCTGCTTGTTCCTGCCTCTGATGGCACAGTAAAAATCATCTGGGCAAATCTCATGGTTATGCTCCTTGATAAAACTATGGATAATCCATTTTTCATCTTGCCTCCTCTTCATATGCATGCCCGCTTTGCAGCCAGTCTTTATACATGGTCGTGGATTGATAACTGTACTAGATTGGCGCTTGCTTCCAAATCTAGAACAAGCAATTTTTACATCAATAAATTTTCCAGAACTTTTGGAGCGGCGACTGGCTTTTATTGTGATCCCAAATCCCACAGATCGCGCATACTCTCTGTAGAAAGAATATGCTGCTTCCTTTGAATCAAATTCCATACCATTTTTGGGCTCGAAAACAGCCCCTTTCCTGGGAACATCTGTTCCAACATTAATAAAATCCACATCATTCTCACAGGCAGTAGCATTTTCTTTCCCTTCATCCTCCCTAGTATGTTCACAGATTTTAGGAGAATCAACATATCCATCATTAACTCCCACTCCAACCTCAGCTTCCAAGATATTGACATTTTTATTGATAACAGGATCTGACTTTTCTTGTTCAAGTGATGGCAATTCAAGATCAATTTCCATCAAGAAGGCAGAATTTTTTCAAAAGAAACAGTCCTGTTCTTCAAAGATACCTAAAAACTAAAAGAAAGCAGGAATCAGTTAAAGCAATATTTAAGACAAAGCAAAGCTTATCCTAAATGGTACTACATCTAGATTCTACAAGCGTGCATGCCTTCATGCAGCAGCAATTCATACACCTTTTTGTTTGTTAGACTCATTAAACTTAAACTGCTGTCAAAAACAAAATGTAGACATATAACAATGGTAAAAGAGTGCATTAAAGAAAAAGATTTTATGTGGAAACAAATATTAAGTGCTTGTGTAGACTTTAAAAGAAATTCATTAAATAAAACCTTCAGGGAAGAAACAATAGAAGCAACTCTAGGAAGCATTGAATAGATTTATAATGGTTTGAGCAGCCAGAAGTTCAAGAATGCATTATGTTGTGTCAATTGGCTTTAGGGTTTGTTTAGGAGTGCTGCACAAAGCACTTTTCTACAGTATATTATCTAAAAATGTAAATATATCAAAAAAATAATAATAATTAATTTTTCATACATTTTTAATAATTTAAGTAATATTTTATATATTTTTGGAATAGGAAAAGACAAGGAAAAAAGAAAAAAGACCTACAACAGCAGCACAGCACTCACAAATGAAGCTTTATTTATTCTGTTAAGCATGTGGGTGTACAAAAACAGGGCAATTTATATCAGATGAAGTGTGAAATTAATCTCTTTAAGGAAAAGTTCTGTGCATTTCTTTTTCGAAAGAAAAAGCAACCAAAAATTCCATCCTAGTAATTAAACATGCAAAATTGCAAGAAATAAGGAAGCAGATTAAAAAAAGTTAAATTATTCACCTCAAAAATAAAAACTTAAAAATCTGACCAGAAAAACTACCCTTAGTAACTCTAACCAATCACATCCATTAACTTTGAACCAGTTAATGTCCTATAGCTAGAAAAATTCTACCATAATAACCAGACCATACACCCTGTCATACAAAAGATAAGCAAATGTCAAATAATGCATTAATTAACAAGCACCACACTCATAATAACATTGCATACAATGCGTAGTCCAAGTTTTAATTACTTAAAAAAAAAAGAAAAAAAAAAAAGAGGAAATGAAACATCGACTTTAATCAAGAAGAAAACTTAAAGAAATTTAAATCATTAATTGAAGACAAGTTACAAAGATAGTCCAAAAATAACTTGAAGTGAAAGATAGTCTTAAAAGATATTAAAGAAAATGATCATAATAATAATCTTATTGAAAGAAATCACATTCTCATAATAAACTTTGAACACTCTCTTGATCTCTTGACTCTTGAGTTCCAATGGGGAAATGAGAAGAGGCGTTGCATAAGCTTGTATTAGAAGCTTGTATTAGTCTAAAATGCAATATAGCAATTTTGACAAAATTTTCCATCTTAAAATCCCAACATACAATACTCCTAGAAGCTATATTTATCTCTCGATCCTAAAGAGAGGAGGTATTTGTAAGTATACAAAGTTGACCAGCAAAGATTAACTTTTCTTTACTCTAAGTTGACAAAAAGAATAATGACTCTTTTAAATCAGCATTTTGATGTGAAAAATGAAAAATTTGCAAGCTTTTACAAGTCTAAGAGGTGATAATAAGATTTTTGCATTATTTTCCCTATCTAGGCATGTCTGGACCAATCCTCTATTTCCATTGATCCGCATCCTTGGATGATATTTCTTGAATCCTTCGAGCTAAGACTGTCTCAATATTATGTTGTCTGGGTCTCCCTCCCCAACTCCTTCCCTGCCCTCCCAAAAACTGCGGTTCTTTTACCAATTTAAGAGAGTTATTTTTAATGGGTTCCAACCCTACTCAAAATGCACCATAAATATCTATATTCTAGAGCTGAACCTCCAAAAACTCTAATATGAGATTCCAAATCATACATACACAAGATCTACAACTAAAGTTTCCCCTAGGGGATGCGAAAACCGTTCCCTCTAATCTAATGGGAGACACTGCACTCAGCGATGACTGCTGCTGGACCTTCCCACTACCCAGTCTCTCATCCCGATTGCACTGCTAATGCCGTTGACACCATCACTTTAATCCAAACCCTCACATGCATTCCTGCCACCGCCGCAGCCATCTAAGTTTCCTCCCGATACCCCAATCTACCATCCCTCCACTTGCTGTTTTCTTGTTCTTGGATATTACATTTTTACTAACATAAAATAGAAAGTAAAGGAAAACCCGTATAGAAACTTGCTTACCTTGAGAAACGAAGCTGGGAGACTTGGAATTTAGAGGAGTTTAGATTCAAAGCTTTAGATTTTCGAAATTGAACGAAAGAAGCTCTAGCAATTAAAACAAATAGTAGGAGAGCAGGAGGAAGAGATGTTGCAAAAATTGGGGATTTTTGTACAAATAGAACAATAAAAAAAAGAAAAAAAAAGGAGTAACTTTGTGAATAGACACTGACCTTTCAAGAACGATTCGGTTAGGTCCTTAAGTTCCCCTCAATTTCTTATTCGTGACAATTGAGTAGGGCTGGGCACGCACGCGGGCAACCGATCGGTTGCCCGCGTGCGTGCCCAGCCCTACTCAATTGTCACGAATAAGAAAAAAAAAGGAGTAACTTTGTGAATAGACACTGACCTTTCAAGAACGATTCGGTTAGGTCCTTAAGTTCCCCTCAATTTCTTATTCGTGACAATTGAGCTACTAAACTTTAAATTATTTCAACGAATCATTACGTCATTTTGCAAAATTGCAAAGCTCACGAATGCCAATTGCTTTTGGATACAAATGAATATACAATATGCGTCAATATTGTTTAGATAATACTAAAGTAAATTAAAAATTTTGAGGGATTCATTTATATACAAATTTTACGCATTATACTCATATAAAATTTTGATCATCTATTTATTTACTTTTAATAGTTGAGATTTATTATAATGATTTATATGGAAAAGATAATTATCTTTAGTAAATAAAAATAAATCTCAACTATTAAAAGTAGAGAAATGAATGGTTGAGATTTTACATATGCGTAGTATGTAAAATTTATATGTAAGTGGAACCCCACTAGATAATTTTTATTAAAAAAATTGTAAAATCATGATAGAGTATGAAGAGAATAACTTGAGCTTGAAACTTTTGAAAAAAAAATTAAGGTGAAAAGGCTATGTTAACTTGCATACTTTTTGACCTACTTAAAATCTGCTCTACGTTTTTTTTGAAAATTTTCAACCCATGTACCTTTTTATGTTGAAATAAATTAATCCACATATTTTTTGATTGAAATAAATCAATCCAAATGTAACTAGTGATGTCATAAAACATCAACATTACATGAAACCCAACTTAAAGGCATTAAGTTATTAATGACTTGGCATGTGTGGGACCTGTTTACATGACATGACATGGCATTAAGGCATTAAGTTATTGTTAACTTTGGCTTTAAATTAGGGATTGTTAGAGTTGCTCCATTTATATTTTGGAGAGAGAAAGATAAGAATAAGAACAAAAAGATTAAATTTTTGGAGAAAAGATTAGAGAGATTAACGATATAATTCCCTAAATCAAAGGGAATTTCAGTGGTCGTCTCCATACTTGGTTTATGATTGCTTATCTCCAATTTAATTCCTTCGCTCTTCTCTTTCTTCTCTGTGTGACAATTAAACAACATCCATTTCAAATTTAAAATGAAAGGAAGTAGAAATTTTGGGTGGGTGTATCATGAATCTAAGAAATAAACCACACCTATCTTGAAATTCTTTGAATTTTGAAGTTTCTAGAGAGTAGTATAGTGAGAATCACTAAATTTAGGTGGAAAAATATGTGAAAAAGACCAAGAATTGTTTGAATATGGAAAGGAGAAATATAGTAGCTTGTTGGCCTTTGGGAAAGGGAGAAAGAAACCCTATATCTCTAATTTAAAGTCAAAGAAACGGTTAACAATTTAAGTCTAGGTTAGCACTTTTATGTCCACATAAGCATTAAATTTTACCGAGTGATGCAAACGAGTCCCACACACACCAAGTCATCAATAACTTAATGCCTTTAAGTTGGGTTTCATGGAATGCTAGCGTTTTATGGCATCACCAGTTACATTTGAGCTAATTTATTTCAATTAAAAAGTACATAGATTGATTTATTTTAGGTTAAAACCCCATTTTGGTCCCTCAACTATTGTACGGACCCCCAATTTAGTCCTTAAACTAAAAAAATCCCTAATTTGGTCCTTACTGTTTACCATTTTGACCCCGATTTGGTCCTTCTGTTAAAAACTGGCTTACGTGGACCGTTACTTGACGAAAAAAAAGGTGACAATTTAAATACCTTGCCACATAGGATTGATAATGAAATAAATAATAAAAATAAAATTATTAAATGTTAAATTATAAAGATAAAATTACATTTTTGCCCTTTCTTCAACCACACATCACTTTCTTTCCTTCCTCCTTCCGTTGCCCCTTACTTCCCCTTTACTTTTCATCTCCAACCTCTTTCGTTGTTCATCTTCTTCCCTTGGATCCTTGTTTGCCGGCTTGGGTTTTAATCTTCTCCTTTCCTCATCTCCTCATCATCTATTTCCTTTCATCATTTATCATCTCCTCTTCGAAACCTAGCAGATCTGTTGGGTTGTCGAGAACCCAACGATATGCTGGGTTCAATTAATCAAACCCAGTAGATCTGTTGGGTTGTCGAGAACCCAGCGATATGCTGGGTTCAATTAATCAAACCCAGTAGATCTGTTGGGTTGTCGAGAACCCAGCGATATGCTGGGTTCAATTAATCAAACCCAGCAGATCTGCTTGGTTCTTGACAACCTAGCGATCTGTTAGGTTCTCAAGAACCCAGCAGATCGTTGGGTTCTTCGATCTGTTGGGTTCTTAAGAACCCAGCAGATACATTGGGTTCTCGAGAACCCAACGATCTGCTAGGTTCGATTAATCGAACCTAGTGATCTGCTGGGTTCTTCGATCTGCCAGGTTTGATTTCCAACGATCTGTTGGGTTCTCGAGAACCCAACGATTTGCTAGGTTTGATTTTTTTTTTTTTAAATATTTATGTTTAGAAACTTGAATTTTAGGGATATTTTTGGGTTGCAACTGATTGTTTTGCTAATGAATATTTTGTTTGTGTGGGCTATTCTCATTGAGAATTTAGCAAAAATTGGTTGAGGGAAAAAATTTGCCCATATGGCTGCTTGTAATTATCGAACATCTGCTGGGTTCGATTTCTTTTTTTTTTTTTAAATATTTATGTTTAGAAGCTTGAATTTTGGAAAAATATGCCTAGATATTTCTGAGTTTTTTTAGGGAGGTTGAAAGAAAGAATTTAGGGCGGTGATGGTCTGGGGAGATTCTAGATTTGTATTATTTTTTGGTTTAATGTTAGAAGCTGTTAGGGTTTGTAGAAGGCGAAAGGAAAGGAAGAAGACGAAAGGGAAAAAAGGAAAATCAAAGGAAGAAAAAAAAAGGGAGAAGGAAATATTTTAAGGTTTTTTTTGCCACGTCATTGTTTTTTTTGCCATATCATTGTTTTTTTGCCATGCTGTCATCTTTTTCCATCAGGTAATGGGACACGTAAGTCAATTTTTAACGGAAGGACTAAATCGAGGTCAAAATGGTAAATAGTAGGGACCAAATCAGGAATTTTTTTAGTTCAAGGACCAAATCGAGGGTCCGTACAATAGTTGAGAGACCAAAATGGGGTTTTAACCTTTATTTTAACATATAAGTATATGCATTGAAAATTTTTTAAAACAAGTAGAGGGGAAGATTTCAAGTAGGTCAAAAAGTTTGTGGGTTAATATGCCATTTTTGCGAAAATTTTAGTAGTAAATTCTATTATTAAATTTTTACCCAAAAATATTCTAGCAATAAAGCTTTCTAACGAAGAGCACTACTATTGCTAACCTTTATTTTGTTTCACCTATTATCCATATTCATGACTCCAAGGATTTACCAAAATTGCAAGATTCAAGGAGTATAAAATCTTTGGAATTCATTTATTTCTCTTAGGAGTGGCTTGCTTTGGTTTGGGTGGACGTTAGTGGTTCAAGTCCATTTATCTGCAAACTTGTGAACTTAGCTGAAACAAAGTCTTATCTTTTATGATAGCAATCACCATTGGTCATTTCATTTTTCTTGATAACTCTCAATGTGGTAGTAATGAACTAGTGGCTTAAATTGTTGCTAGTTGAGAATAGTAGCATAAACAACATTTGGCAAAATAAACTAACAAAGAAAGTAGCATAACTCAACAAACCATCATTGAACAAAATTAAAACATTAATCTAATAGAAGGAAGGTTAAAACCCCATTTTGGGTCCTCTACTTTAACAAAAAGCCCCCTTTTAGTTCCTTGACTTAAAAAAGCTCATTTTTAATCTCTAAAGTTTATTATCTATTTTTAATATCTTTATTATCTTTTTGCACACATAATGTGTTAGATGATGGAAAGTTCAAAGTAGGGGGATGAAGAAAGGGCTCTTTTTAAAGTAGAGCAACCAAAAATAGGCTTTTGTTAGTTCCTTTTTAGTCCCTCTACTTGGGAATTTCCTTTATCTAACATGTTATGTGTGCAAAAAAATAACGAAAGGACTAAAAAGGGGCGGAAAAATAAACTTTAGGAACTAAAAAAAAAAAAAGAAGGCTTTTTTAAGTAGAGAGACTAAAAAAAGGCTTTGTGTTAAAGTAAAGTGACTAAAATGGGGTTTAAACCTAAAAGGCAAAGAGGCCAAGAACATCTTCAACATACAAAAGTGAGTCGAACCATCAATCATTGAAAGAGAAAGTTGGCCCAAAAGATTTACCTTTGATCTAAACAAATGACCTCCATTGCTCCTTAGTTTCCTTTGAAAGCTAGCCTATTATACATAGAAAGTGTTTCAATTTTTAAACTTCATCACAAAAATGTTGAAAAAACAAATATCTAAACTTTGAACATTTCTAATCTCTCTTATCTTTTCTTTATGCCCTCTTGTTATGTTTTTTAGAAAGCCTAAGATGTAGTACCTTATAAAATGAATTTGGCATATTCAATTTTTTGTTTCTTCAGAAAAGGCAAGTTCTTTCATTGAACTATAAGCATATATACACTACTCCTAGGCATAGCCAAGGCAAAAATAGAAAACCCTCAAAATTTAAAGTTTTAAAAAGAAATTATTCAATTATATACAAAGTTTTCATTGGTCCTCTTACTCTAAAATAAACACCTATTTTGTTTCTTACCAAATCATATCTATAGTAGTAGCTAAGGCCACTTGTAGTTTCTTGTGCTAAAGCTTTCAACCTCTACATGCCTTCCTAAGTCAAGTCCACTTAAAAGTCCATGATTGTGGTATCCTTTGTATGCT